GTTTCTCATTCCATAATGTATGCTCTACCTTGTAACACACTTTTTCCCTCCCCAGTAAATCCCACAGTGACATCTGCAAACCCACACTTGTGTACCGTTATTGCCCAACTTACTGACTGTCCTCATCTGCCTCAAATTCACTTCCACCCATACATCAGTCATATATGTGAATAAGATTTTTTTTTTTTTTTTAATTTTGGCAGATATCTAATAACTGAAGGAACTGAACTTATTTGTGAAGCAACCTCTTATGGTGTAAGCCACGAGTGAAGCTCCCCAGTCTTGCTTTTTCCAAAAGAGATGGCAGTTGGGTTCTTAGTAAGCAATTTTATTTGAAATCTGCCAGGTGGGTCCGTTGGCAGTCAACAGGTGGCTGGTGTATGGAAATCTCTCTTCCTCCCTTTTCTCCTAAACTTCTGCTACCCATCAGAAGAAGACAGCCGGACTTAAGCGTTTCTGTCTCTATCACCCACTCGCCCCTGAGAGTTTCCAGGCTGGTACAAAAGGTGTGTTTCCATCTGCACCCTGCTACATTTTGGAATTCTTTTTCCATCTAACAGCTCCATGCTCAGCTTTTCCCTTCCCATAAAAGAATACCACTGCCTAATTCTGGATTCAATCGCTCCTTTCCCAACAACCAGCAGTGTGAAAAATCCTTTATTATTATTTTTTCTCTTATACTTCGTGTTAAGTAAGATATTTCCACTGCCTGCAATCTAGAAAGCCTTCAAGAGGAGGCAGCTACAGAGGAGCTGGTTGCTGTTACAAAGCCAGCGCGGTTGTTCAGTGGTCCGAGGTTTCAACAGAGAACCACATCCTTTCTTGCACTGTTTTGAACTGACCTATTGAAAACTGTAATGAGGATTTAATACTTCACTAAACTCCAGAGAAAAGCTGTATTTTACTATTACTGTCTAAGACATAAGGGAATTCTGAAAAAGAATTAGCGTCAAACCTCCTGAGCAACAGTTGTAATCAAACCTGGCTGCAGACAAAGGAATCGTAAGGACTCGTGGCACCGCTAAGAGGTTCTGCTCAGCAGGCACTATTAAACATTAAAAATACATCTGCGTTCTGGCAGAACTCATCCGGCAACTAGATTACTGAGCTTGAAATTATATTTTTCAAGCAGCCCATACATGAAATAATTCAATGGATTGAATCAGTTAATCACGTCTTTTCACAGTAGGGTAGGTAACCTGCTTATTTCAGTGTTGCTCAGATAAAGGCTGATTTCTTAATTACTTATTAGAAAAAAAGTAAATCTATTTGAATCATAAACCTATACAAAAGATGTTAAAAGTTCCTGCAAAAAAATATAAAATAAAGCATTGTACTGTATTGTATAATGCAGATGAAAAACAAAAAAGATGAAAAAAAAATCACTCACAAAAACTGCTTGTCTGCTTCTCAAGAACAGAATCTACAAAGCTTAAAAGTTTAGTGGACAGATCTAGGATGAGTTACAGTGAGCTGACAGCAGCTTTTCAAATAACTGGACATCATGTGTGTCATTTTTTCATGAGTTTTCTTTTCTTTTTTTTTTTTTTTCATTTTATAGGAAAGATAAGAAGTGAATAGCTCTCTAATCCGAGAAAGTTTTATGATTCATCCCTCTTGACTAAAATGAAAGCATCTTCCTTTGAATTATGTTTAAGATAGAGTAGTGGAAAAGATGAAAGACTTGCATTTCCCCCCTCCCTGATCTTGTCTAAAATACAGATCAATAAGTGATGTCACAACAAATCAGAAACTGAGGTGTTTCGCTCTGCCAACAGTCCTACTTCTCCTCTGGAAGAAAAGCTTCAGAAATGCCAGCTTTTTTTTTTTTTTTTTCCACTACAATGATATGAAAAGGAAAAAAAAAAGAATTCAGTGTTTACAAGCAGCTTAAAAAACCTTCTCCTGAGGTGTGCATTGTAAATTATAAGTACTTTGCTCTTAGCAATACATATATTGTATAAAAGTCTGCAAAATATTTAGTAGTGTTGAATAAAATGCAGTCCAATTTTACTTTGAAATTAATTTTCAACGTTTATCCACAATATGCCCCACAAATGGACTGCTTTATCTCGAAAACCTCAAGACTTAGTTCTGTGAGTTTCTACAAGAGAACTGTGTTGTGGAATCAATTTAAGAATGATGAATGTTTACTAAATAACAGAAGAAGCTTTTTACTTTAATCGTTATCAGTTCATCCTCTTTATCTACATGACAAATGTTTCTTATCACATGGCATTTCTCTCGAGATAGGCCATGCAGATATAAAACATACTTTTGGAACTTTTGGAAGAAAGATGAGATTTTATTTTTTTTTCCCCTCAGCTAAAGATTTCCAATTCTCTCATTTTGTTTCCTTAAATATTCTTTTCATCAAATGCAGGCCTTGCAATACAGGCACACAAACTTGGTAAACAAAGAAGTTCTAAAAGTCTGTTCAGCAAAGCTGTATTTTGTTTCATTTTCACCTCGGAAGAAGTCATTAACTGCTTCTTTATTCATAAAAGAAAGTGTGGTTAAAAAGTCTGGAAAAAAAGCAGTGTGCCCCCAGCTGTTTTGATACCTATTTTAACATCCTTCCCAAAGGTACCGTGCAGCTAAAAGTTTCCGGCTCCAAAGTTATTTAAATGAGCTGAGGAAGAAAATGCAGAATTTAATGAGGGATAAACCTTACCACCTTCCCAGTCAAGCATTTGGCTGCCTGAAGGGTAGGAAAAAAGCAGCCGCTGTGAACTTCTTTGCTAATTGTACCATGCCACGTGCGGAAGGACGGTTGTGCGGGGATGGCTGTGCAACAGCAGCTGGTGATCTCCAGCGGTCACCGAACCCATCCCCTCCCCTGCACGGGGGCACAGTTCCTCCAGCCCCGTGCTCACAAACACGTCCCACCTGCTCAGCACCTTCCGCAACCGGGGCCACCACCGTGTCCCCCACTTCTCTACTCATAAGTATTCCGAAACCTCCCACTCCATTTACAGAGGCAACTCAGATGTGGCAAAGGGCTGATGATTTGCTGTTGCGTACTGGGCCGTACGTAGGATCTCAGCGTGGACGGCAATTCATATTCTTAGCAGATCTGCTGTTATTAACATCGATAGTTTTCCATAATGCCTAACCTGACCTAAACCTCTACTGCTGCTTCTTATCTTTCATAGCTTTTACACACAGAACAGAATATTCCTTAGCTCATTTTCTTTATCTATTTGACAACTACTTTTGTCAAATGTAGACAAAGCGGATCGCTTGCTCTTCCCATCCTTATTTTCTTTAGGCTTTTTAAGTAAAAGAAAAGTTGATAATTTTTCTAAGTGCTCTTTTTTTTTTTTTTTTTCCTTAAGAGACCTTTTTTTCTTGATTCTGTTTTACTGATCCACATCCTCTTTGTGTGATGCCCCTCACTGGACGTCATATCCCAGCTGGAGACTTCCCAGAGTTAAGTAAGTAGCAGGGTTACTTTGTAGATCTTGGAAGTAATACTCCTACTTTATATATAGAGTCATAGAATCATAGAAAGGTTTGGGTTGGAAGGGACCTTCAAGATCATCTCATTCCAACCCCCCTGCCCTAGGCAGGGACACCTCCCACCAGCCCAGGTTGCTCCAAGCCCCGTCCAACCTGGCCTTGAACACCTCCAGGGATGGGGCAGCCACAGCTTCTCTGGGCAGCCTGGGCCAGGGGCTCACCACCCTTAGAGTGAAAAATTTATTCCTGATATTTAATCTAAATCTCCCCTCTTTCAGTTTGAAGCTATTCCCCCTTGTCCTATCATACCAAGGTAGCATCTCTCCCCCTGCGCACCGGGAAAACACTGACTTATTTTTGCCTTGTGATCCATGATGCATTTTGGATACTTTTCACCAGTCTATTTGTTCAGGGCCACACCTTGCTTTTGTCCCTGCTCAAACCTTACCCTACAAATCAGAAACTTGTGCAAAGCAGCTCGTATGATCAGGGAGGCTATGAATGTAATGGTACGGGTGTAGAAGAGTCACCTGCAACTACATGGAAAGTATTTTCCACGCCATAAGCCGGGCCCAGTGAAGCGACATAAGCTCTTGTCATTGGAGCTCTTGTAGAACTCTGCAATAAAAGCACCTTCATTACTGCGCCAGGTGTCTTTTTTACCTCTGTGCCCTATGAAGTATTTGGCCCCAATATTCATCATATTCATAATTTAATCCAGAATTAATTCAAGGAAAAGTTGTGTTTACACAAAAAAACAATGCAATGAGCAACACTCATTTCTTTGCAGCATCATGATCGTGATTTGTACTCTCCTGCAGTGACGTCTCTGATTAATGACTAGTGCTTCCCTTCTGAAAACAACTGAAAAGATGAAAACTATTGTAAAATAAACATGTTGAAGCATTATGAAAGTCAGAGGAGTAGTTCTTCTCTGTTAATCTGATTCATTTCATCAACACCCCCAAGATACTGACAGCTCACTACAACACTGCGTTGATACTCAGTCTGCTGGATGTAAGAATGGAAACTCAAAGGCTCAACTCAAGCCCAGTACTGGCACCATGAGGCTTTCCTGATCTAGATTTGTGTTACTGATCTTCATGTAGTGGAGGCAGAATATTTTTACTTCGTATGGACTTTCTTATCTCACAGTAATTCACTGAGGATTTTTAAAAAAATTGCTCAGCTGTGTTGTGTGAATCAATACAAAACTTGGTGCAAGCACTAAAAAAACTCTGTAAGTCTTACTGGTGCTCAAGTCAAAACAGATTTAGCAATGTTCTTTACAGGACGAAGCCTCACAAAAAAAAAAAAAAAAAAACCAAAACAAAACAATAGACCTTCCTCTTTTCTGATAACAAAATAACTACAAAAAGGAAGACTCAAAAAATATATAACAAACACGGCTTTATACTTGAGTGTCGAATCATTGTGGATGCTGAATAATTACCTAAGGAACTTTTTAGGTTTATTAATATAAAAGCATTGTTAATTCAATATACTGAGTAAGAAAATATAGTGTACAATATCACTTCATTAAACACAATTCACTAATTTCCTCAAATACTCAACTTACTATTACTAACGAAAACATGCACTTAGAAACAAAAAGCCTAGTTTGAATATGTATATCATGCAATTCACCTCTTGGGATATTGCAAGGACAAAGCAATCTCATGTCTTGTTTTATCCTATGACTACAATTACCTCACGATCATTTCCTCTGCCTTCTCGCTATCTCCGTTGTCTTCCCAGAGTAAACAGCCTATTTGGTTTGTGTGAGGAAAATCTTTGATTTATTTATGAACAGGGGAACTGGGAACTGTTCTAATCTTGGCTGAACCGAGTATTTCACTTTAATTAATAATAACCATATAATAACTTCTAATATTTCCCTTGGAGTATTGTTACAATACGTGGAAAAGTTGTTCTACGGTTGTTGTGTGGCTCTTTGTAGTACAGTGAAGGAAAGACTCTCCTGTGTTCGTCTCTATCTTTTCATATCTATCCTTTAGATAGGACCAAAACATAAAATATTTTAATTAAGGTAAGAAGCTGTTAAAACTTACCATTTTTGGCATTGCAGGATTTGTTATCAGGCTGAAGTACATAACCCTCCACGCAGCTGCAAGTGTATGATCCATCTGTATTTATACACATCTGGCTACAGCTTCCATATATATTACATTCATTCAAATCTAAAGGGACATGAATGAAATCTTGTTTAAAGATTAGAAAACAAAATTCAACAATAAATCAGAATTCTAAAAGAAAAGCTTAAGTCACTATGGTAAGATGCTTTGCGCTTTCCTCTTCTCAAGCCATGACCTTATCACAGACGTTGCCTGTTGAAATTAGTCCAGAAACTAAACAGAAAGCCAGGAGTTTTCAAGTTTAATAGCTATTAAATATGAAAGATGAAATGTTCATTCATTCAAGTAATATCCAATGTCTACAGCATGTTAGGAAGACATTTGGGTTCTTGTTAGTACTAGGGACCACTAGTTATCAGGGGCGATGAATGAAGCAACGTTTCAAGACAGGAAATAATTGATTATCCTTCTCAACCTATTTATGCTGGCAATGTCTTATAGTTCCTTAAATGAACTGTCACAACTTCTACATTAAACCATCATCCAATACATCAAAACCTATATATTTCTCTAATAAATATAAAGAACAATTTTCTCAACTAGGGTGTATAGGCACAATACCATAAAATCAAGGTATGCTATTTAACAGTGGATGAGGGTTTAAGTAATAAATTGACATTTTTAAAAACTGCTGTGGAAATTATTTCCTCAGATATATTTTCCATCACAAAACATGACAACCACAGAGCAAAAGAACTTATAATAAATTATATTTATGAAGAATCTGGCTTAGCACTATTACTTGGAGAGAGGCGTGATTGGAAGTGAGCGCATACATAAGGCAACAGAACTCCAATCTGCTTATAAAAAGAGAAAAAATAAAACAAGAAGCAAATACCTGGGTAGAGAATTAAGAAGTCATATATTTCAAAAATGGAAAAGAACACCAATTTCAGTCTACAATTAATTATGCCGAAATAACATTCCCAGCTAATTTGTATGACCTGGGAGTGTTCATTTATCAAATTCTAATCTAGGTGTGACTTTACGGGCACGAGGCGAAATGCTACAAGTTTTCCAGGGTCGCCTGGTAGCGAGGGCTGGAGAACGGCTTGCACAAATGAGCTGTAAGCTTGTCTGAGCAGTGGGAAATGCTCCCCACTTCCTCCGGTCTGGCCGAGGATGATTTCCTCCCAGTAATTTATAAATGGTTACTGCTGGGGCACAGGGGCACCAAAGAGTCAGCAGGGAGGCCCGGACTCTTGTTTTGGAGGGGCACCCTTTCCCCCTGCCCGCTCCACAAGCCCACGCTGATTCCTGAAGAACATTCCTGAAGATGGGCGAGGAAGTGGCCGTGCTCACCAGCCCACCTTTGGCCAGAGCTGGCAGCCCACCACCAGCCCTCTGCCCCCCAGAGCCACCAGGGAACCATCAGGATCCCCGGGCGTTAAATACATCCTACTTCTTGTTTACCTGAGCAACTTCTTCCATCACTGCTTGTTTCATATCCATCTCCACAGTAACACCTGGTGCCGTTCCTGGTAATGGCACATCTGTATTGGCAATTCATCTGTTGGCATTTGGGTAGCAATTCTGTAAATAATTGCAAAATGTTACTAAATATTTTTATTATTCCTAAATTGCAAACTTTAGAAACTTCTATATATTTGTAAGTGCCTGTCTCAGGAAGGAAACGCCACCACCATTTACCTTAGCTGGTTTTGGAAATATACTTACGACACATAATACATTGCAAAATGCTTGCTTTGAAAACTGCAGTTCAGCAAGTTAATAAAGAGAAATCAGCATTTTATTTCTATCACAAGTTGCTCAAAAGTTTATTACCAAGGTGTACTGTTGCTCTGCTTAGACATCCATTTTTTGCACATCAGTCATTTTCAGTCAAAGCAATGATTTGGGGAAAAACAAAAAAAACCAAAAACACCAACCAACCAAACAAAAAATAACAACCACCAAAGCTCAAACAGTTAGATTATAGTTACAAAAAAAACAGCCAAAGCTATGAGAAAGGTTTAAACATCTATGTCTTTCCTATTCCTCATATAAATTGATTTTCTATCTTTTTAAAGCTTGTTTTGATTTACTGATACAGATATCACCTTCACAGAAATCAATGAGAATACATTCTGGTTCCATATTTAACGTTGGACATGTAATGTTGGGTGAACAGTGGACATTATATATGTTATTACTACGGAAGTCCTTCATAGGATCTATTGCTTAAATACATACCATCAGCACAAGGCATGATGCTAACAACCAGAGCAAATACTGTAGAAATACAGACTGTAATGATTTTCAGCATGAAATAGCATGAAAGCAAACCAAAAAACCTCAAACGCTTCTCAGCCCCAAGAGGTATGATGTGTATCGATAATTTTGCTGATCAAAAAACCCAGTATTTTAATGAGCAACAACATTTTTTCCTCCAGGAAAATAAGAGAAGGATTGAGGAAAACAGCTTGAAGTGTTGATCTGAAGATATTTTTCAGACCTATATGCAGATGGATCAGAAAATAACCTGCAAATGGACAGAGAAAGGTTCTGTTACAGTTCTGGCTGAAAATAACTGGGTATGTCCTAAGGAAAAAGAGAAATCTGTATTTTAATATGTGGGCAGTTTTAATCTGTCTGATCATTATTCATCAGGTTCTACTTGGGAGTAGAATGAAAGTGAATATGAAGAAGAGTCCACACCAGCATCCGAGCCCTGGAGGTTCCATGCTGGAACATCTGCCGGTGCCAAAATAAAGCTGAAATTTTGGGAGAGAAGTGGATGTGGCTGGCACTCAAACTTACTGCTTACTGTGATGCAACTATGCTAAAACCAGAGGTTTCACACCAGTGCCACAAGGCATTCCCTAGAATTCTGGAATGGACACAATCCGCAGACTGACGAGAGGCTGATAAACCATCCGCTCTCTAAACCTGCCCATTTTCCAAGTGGTTTCTGGGTTATTTCTCTGCCTTTTGTGTCCTTGTGAACAGGAAGACAATACATCTGTTGGCCATAGCTTGCTTTGTTGGTTTCTTGTCCCTAGTCCAGTCCTTAAACCTCTCACACCTTTCCAAGAACAAGTGCCCTGCGGAATGCAAACCAGGGAACTTCCCCGGGGTAACCTAAACGGGGACCGCACGAGGCATGGAGCTGGAACCCAGGCTGATTAGGTACTATCTGTTTATCTAATATTTCTATCTGAACAAAATCGACATATACATTTCAGTTTCTAAGCAAACATGGATCAACCGTCCTTTACAACCTATAATTTTCTTTCTCAAATATTTGCCTGGTGTTATGCAGCCAGGAGCTTTTACCAGATGATAACTATTTGACTCACGAACGGGATTTGGCTTGTTTGCCCCCTTTCCATAATGGATGCAGCCAGCCAGCAGCTTAAAGCATAACAGTGGGATCCACACACAGCCAGCAAAGGCTGCTGGAGAACAGCAACAATACATTGGCAAGTGAGATCCATTAAGGGAAAATTAATAAAAACAGTCTATTTGCTCATATTCATTACAAAACCTGTTGCATTTCATTGCTTTTAAATCATCGCAGTACCACGTGGGTGGCTTTTAACAACAAAACAGTTGCATTTTCCTTACAGAAAGCATAACTGAAGCACTGCAGATAGACCATTTCTGCCAAAAAATATTTCTTGCCACACATCTCAACCCTCATTCTTTCCCCGCTTTTTTCTTTTTCACACTGTCTCTCACAACTTTGTTGGCGTCCTCATCCCATCTGCTACGCTTTTAGAAAGAGCTTCTCTGAGCAGGTATTCTACTAATACCTCCTTCTCTTATGCACGTCCTTACATTCATTTTGTTGTGAATATTGCTCAATTGATCAATTAATTTCAAATTTTTTCTCTCAAAATACATGTTTCATGGTCCATTGGAATAATGGTTTGAGAGAGTTAAAACCAGACTAGTGAGAAAACACAAAATTTCACCTCTTATTTTATCAGGCTATGCAAAGAAGCAACCTATCGCTTGCCTCAAGTTTTACACTAAAACTACTTTTCCAGTTTTCCTGGACCAGCTGGGAACCCTTCAAACACAGCAGACTTCCCCACAAATCCGTTTAAGAAGCACTGTTGAGCGTCATACATTTCTGACTTCAAACTAACATTTCTCCCTGTGGAATGATTACTAAAAATGATCAATAGTACAGCATTGGTCACACATTAAGGAAATGTATAAAATCAAAAGGCTTCTAGGGTAGAATACAACCGCAGCTGGTATGTGAAGAAGCCGCTACATCTGCGATTCCCTGTCCAATATTGCTTGCAAAGCAACACGGGGAGTGGAGTGGGGTGGAGACTCCAAGGCCAAACCCTGTGATAATCCAGCAGATGTGGGAACGAGATGGCACCATGGAAGAAAAACAGTGCGGAGGATGGAGCGGAGTGGAGACACCGCGGCTAAAACCCTGTGATAAACCGGGGACTTGGGGACCAAATGGAACCCTCAAAGGTCTTATGGAACTGATAAACTGCCTACCTGTTACCCTGAGCCAATGATCTGTCATTTTTTTTGATGAAATGCTGTCTTTTAGTGAACTTTGCTCATTATAATGTCATTATAATACCAAAACACACCTCCATCCCAAAAGCTACCCGCCTCCAAGGTGTGACCACTCCTTCTTGAGTCTGCACCCTGAATTTTTCATAAACTATACCTTTAAATGCGAGGCAAGAAAATTTTATACCAATCATAATGGAAGTATTTATGACTAGAGTCACTCAAACTCCACCTTGAGGATAAAAAAAAGGTATAAAAATAGCCCAAGAAAGGGGGGATGTTGGGGAAGATACCATCGTGGACTTCTGGGACCAGTCGAGGGGCTGAGCCTCGCTCCCCCTCCAATAAGGACGCTTGTGGGTAAGATTTGAACACTTAGCTATACCAAGTGCTTCCCCGGGAAACTTAGAAATCTCCATATAGAGTGGTTTTATAACTTAGCGCTTTTGTAACCGAGCTATATTGCTGGCATCTTTAGTATTCGCACGTGCTTTGCAGACAGTCACTATCACCGGCAATGCAAAAGAACTTGTGTATCTGTTGTTTAAATAAACTGCACTGTGTAGGCAGTGAGTCGTTTGGGTTTTCTCATTGAACGTGGCCAGAGAGTGGCCGTGTGAGTTCATGAGCACGACTGGGCTGAAGGTGCAGTCTGCTATGAGTGTATCCAGAACCGTAACAGTTTAATACATGTCAAACGTGCCTGGACTGATAGTGGTGAATTGGGCATCACTCAGAATTGAAACCTAGCTGCACCTTGCCTCCCGCCTCCGTGAGGGGGTTTATTTTCTGCCAAAACTACTTTGCCCCTTAACGCAACACCCCCTCAATTAAATTATCCATCAGATTATTACAACAGCCATTTGTCTCCATTCGCAGCCCCAGTGAAGAGCTTTCTTACTGCCTGGGTGAGAGACCCCTTCGTGCCCCAGAACATTTTTGCTCTGTCACTGATCTGCTAAACCTGCCAAGGGAATCCACAAGCGGAAAAGCACCAAATACAACAACAATGCCAAGGGTAAGCAAATATATCTTCTATTTTACTAGTTCTCTTGTTTTCTTCATTTTAAGTAACTGATGCTGAAAACCTTTGGAACAAAATGGAGTTTGCTTGCCTCTGGAAATGTTTGAAGTATTGAAGGACATGCTACAGAAGACAGCGTATACATTTATGGTTTGGTCAGATTTGTAACAGGCTTCTTGGGAAGGAGGTGAGGAGGCAAAGAAAAATCATGAAGCAGTGAACACTGATATTTTTAATGCTGCAGATAGGAAATTTAAAGAGATAAAAGCCAGGGACCCTCATTTCTTGTCTCTCCTACCTCGCTTTTGGATCGGACTAAAATTCTGCACCCAGTTTGGTCTCCCTTTCTCCACGTGAATTGGTTTACAAAGTACTGAGGCAGTGAAGAATGAGCATCACTGAGCTCTCCACTTTTATCACAGCTACAGAAACCTCTGAATTTGTCAAAGCGTGGTATTTCTGCTGGAAGATTTAAAGGAAGAAGCTGCACTGAGGGAAAGCAAAAGGATGGAGCTATATAGCTTGCAAGGAGACCCACAATTCAAGTCGTGGAGCTGCAGAGCAAGGCATGAGATTTGCAGAAATACAGGGTAGCAGAAGTAGTTGCGAGTGCCTTTAGGATGATGTATTTTCTCCAAGTCCAGGGAGTACTGACAATTCATCCAGCTCTGATTTAGGTCATTTTGTTCAGTGTTTTCTTTCTTCCACATGAGACATGAAGGGCAGCATTTTTTCTTCCCTACATCCCCACGAACGAGTGTCTCTAAAGTTGTGCTCCAGCTGTACCACAAAAGCCCCCCCTGCTTTCTCAAAGACACCCATGTCAATCTTCGGCTTCCTGACTTTCATATTCCTCTAACTCCCAGGTATCTAGTCCCATAGGAGAGCAGTCAATCAGGCAAAGATGCTGCCGATCTCCTCTCCCCTAAAGTGATATACCTTTGACAATGACTCAGAGGATCTGTAAGCTTCTTGGACAAACTGCTCCCACAGGACTTCATAGTAATAAAATCCTGGCCTC